AGAAAGCTCGGCTCGTCGCAGAATGTTGCTTACATCAGAGCAAGGTTCGGCGCGTGGTAAGATGTTATCAGTTTCTACAAAGGCAAGCTCAGCGCGTGGCTTGATGTCGTTACGTCGGAGCGTTGCTAAGCAGCTCATACAAAGGCAACCTCGGCGCAGCGTTGCTAAGCAGTGAAAACGTATGCAAACTTGGCGTATAAGTTGAGAGGGAGCGCGAGCACGTGTGAGAGAGAAAGAGTGATAGAACGATACGTGCGATTTGTATTCCTTTTGATTATTTAACAATTATTTTAATATTATATTAAACATTTTTTACAATACAGGACAATTTAACTCTAAAAGTCATCACTGCTCAGATGTTATAAAAAATTACATTAGAGTACAAAAAATGCTAAAATCAGAACGTTTAAAGCTTAAAATCTTATCATTAAAAATATTATTACAATTACACACAAGCGCAATGTTTGAAAAGTCATATAGACAAAATGCAATAAAAGAATTTTGACAGAGGACAACCCGTCAGTCTAAAGGTGAATTTGGAAGAGGACGATACATAAATCAATAATTCCGAGCTTTTCAACAATGATATACACTTTCTTTGGTTAATTAACAATTATGTTAATATTCTAATTAACTTTTTTTTACAATACAGGAAAATGTAACCCTCGAAGTTACCACTGGTCAGGAGCTATCAAATAATTACATTGGAATGAAAAAAATGTTAAGTTAATGTTAATTATTGATAATAATATAAGATATAATTTTACATATTTTAATTTCCTTTTCTTCTATATTTATTTAATTTCCTGTTAAATGTTTAAAGTGCAATCTTAATCGTAGTTAAACAAAACCTTGTGATCTTTCCGATCGAAATTCGAAATTCGTCATAAGGAACACTCATTTATCGAGTGTTTTTTTATGTAATTTCACGTTCGCGTATTCGGATATAAGTAGGTATAGTTATGAAAATGAATGAGTTACCCTCGTCTACAATGAATCATGATTTTATTTGTTATATAATATCTACAATAAAAATACCACATCGTTTGAAAAACAATTTTCATTACAATTATACAGTAATTTTATATAATAATATAATATTTAGGTTTCCGTTCTAAATTAGATGTAGCGATGAACATACACCTCTCAATGGGAGTGAGAAAATACATTCTTTTTGTTGCAAATTTCACATTCATTTCTTCACTCACAATCGATATTTCTCGCAATCACCATCTGCGTAGACACTCGAAACGATGTCGGCATACATAAATGTACTTATTGAATTTTCTCATTTTGTCTCATTTTTGTCTAATACACATTATTTATATCCTGTATAATCCAAGAAAAAGACTTGCGTATTATTTCCTTGCTCGTTATTAGGGGAAATCCAAGATAGTCGTATCAAGTGTCTCGCCTTTTTTTTCTTTTTTTTTTTCTGATTCCAGTGATCACGGAAACATTTTTCCGCTTGCTGAGATTCATAGAAAACTTGGACTAGATAATCCAACTTCGTCATCTCGCATCTTAGAACGTAAATATCTCCATTTATCTAAACTTAGCTACACTTACTTAATAGTAGCGTAATATTATCTCTCGTATTAGTTGTCCATAATATATAGAAAATACATGTAACAATTATTTAAGTGACTCACAATCAATCATTTTGTCGCGATATATTATTATATCAATTAATGTATGTCGCGCTGAATGTATACATACGCATAGGTATATGTAGGAGGTGTGTTCATGTTTGCTCATATCGATAATTACATGATATTTTCTTTTTACACTTGTCGTAAATAGGAAAGGAAAAGGATTATTTGCAAGGAGTTTCGCGAGGATGGAAGATTTAGTAGAAACGGGAATATACTTTTCCATTTTTCATGATTATCAATCATCTTTTCTTACTTTTTATAGCAGCTATCTAAGAAAAAATATTGAAAGTACCATGCCTTGGGAGATAATAGCAAGTTTTTTTTTTTTTTAACTTATTATATCTCCTCGTAATAATATTTTATGTGTATCGTTTTATTCGAACCTACTTATTTACTTATGTAAATCTTCTTTCTTTTGATTAATTTCTTTTGTTATGTCCTTCTTCGAAATGGTGAAGTTTTATTTGTGTTTCTCTTTTTCATTTTTTGCGATGACATTGATAGTCTTGTACGACGATTTACGAAAAATAACGTCTTTCATTCTATGATTTTGCTTTTTGATTCGTTTGACGCATTATCACATGCATAGTATGAATTTTTATTTATTATATATGTATATATATATATATATGTATCTATAAATAAACCTTTTTTCTTTCATTTTTTTTTAACCAATATTGCATTTTTATTTGAATATTCATAATGTATTATTTTACCCGTCAGCTTCATTTTTATCCTGTCTAATAGCACATTTTACGTTCGTTTGATATTATTTATATGGTTGTACAAGAAATAAAGCGGAAGACTTACTCTAGATTGAATATTGCGATGTGGTTCGAAGAATCATGAGTTTCTATGAACAATTTTCTTGGCAAAAAACAAACGCGATAGAAATTTCATAAGTGAAAGAAATCGCAGAAATGACTATTATCATCATCGTGTACAAGTATTCATTATGTTTCTACAAGTTTGAACGAGGGAAGTTATAACAAATAAAAGAATTTTAAGAACACTCAATTCAATGTATCGGCTATATTTTCTCGTGAATTTTTTTATTTTTCTCAAATTTTATTTATTAGCTACATATTTATAGATATTTAATCAAATTATCGAAGCATTTTGTTTTTCTGATGAAAATAATATTCCAAAAAATGTTAATTTCTTTGCATTTCAAAAGACTTTATTTTTATAAAGTCTTTTGAATACCAAAGATTTTTGTTTGGCAGGACTTGACGAGCATTATCTATTTCGATTAATTATTGCCAATTTATCTTCATTCGCATCGGTAACCGATACATACATACATATATGTTTTGAATTTTATGAAGCAATTATATGTTACAAATAAATATTAGGCTTCTTGTAAGTATTTCTCAAGAGTTTCAATATATTTTTTTTGTATGAATATTTAAAATATTTTTATATCTTCTTTGCGTGAACATAGGCCGAATGCGGGTAACTTAAAATGTATATATAAGCATGTACATATTGTATTTAACTTTTCTATTTATTTCATATATAAAACGATCGAACACTTTATCATCGAACAAGAGGTGAGAATGGATTATTTAGAATAGATAACATAGAAAATATACATGTATTTATTACAGTTATGATTAGTACTGAAAACGAAAACAAAAAGTCGGGTATTTCATAAAAATACTACGATATATTCTATAAGATATAAATGTATGTGTTGTATAAAAAAAAGGAATCATATTTAAAAGAATATTAATATTGTATATAATTGGTATACCTTGTAGGACGATAAAGAGTTCGTATCGAGAAAAGCTAACAATAAGATACCCAAAATTCTTAATGATATCTATAAGTCTGAACTCTCTAATTGTGTTATTTAAAGATTTTTCAAAGATTATAATTAATTCTTATTACTGGAAGTGCTTCTCAGCGTAGAATGTACTGCCTTGTGGGTTATTTTTGGAATAAGAATTTATCTGTCTTTTGATATGTCGCACATCCTTTTTTCGTTTCCTTCTTCCCTCGGGCACCACCAATCACATTCTTTTGTATTTCTTTAGCGCTTTTGTTCTTCTTAATATATTTACTTATGTATGTATATATTTCTTTCTCTCTCTCTCTCTCTTTCTCTCTCTCTTTCTTTTCTAATTTGTAGGATTTAATCAGCGTTGAAGCCTCTGTCACGCGTCAAGCTGAGTGTTTCATCATTTTTATTTGATTAGCTATTTTAAACAAACATTAAACGTTTTTGAAAAAATAAATTAAAAGGACAATTTTCGAATTATTTATTATAAACAGACGTTAACACTAACGGGAACAAAAATTAGTTCCATTAAATAAAAGAAATCCTCGCGTTACCGTCGGAGAGAGAACAATCATGCATTGCTGTAACGAATTTTAGAGATACAGGGCTGAGCTGGACGTACATCGAGCTGAACATTAATTTTACGTTTTTATACATACATACATACATCTTTTTTCTCTCACGATCGAGATGAAAGCGCGATTAATACACGGTTCAACGATTTTCATAATGCAAAAAGAAACACCAACAGCCAACAATGAGACATTGACATCTTTACAGGTTAAGGAAAATCCTTTTGCCTTCTTCTTACACAAAAATACACAGGATGACATATATTTCTTCTATATACAGTGCACTGATGAAAAGTCGGAAGAATTTACAGGAAATTTGGTATATAAGATGTAAGAAAATATTTGTCCAGCCCCTCTTTTTTTCGAGAGAATCATTCGAAGGGCCTTGCATTGCATATTTTGTTTCTTTTCTTTTCTTTCTTTTCTTTTCTTTTCTTTTCTTTTCTTTTCTTTTCTTTTTTTTTCCTCTCTTTTCTTTTCTTTTCTTTTCTTTTCTTTTCTTTTCCTCTCTTTTCTTTTCTTTTCTTTTTTTGTCTTTTTCTTTTTCTTTTTCTTTTTTTTCTTCTTTTATTTTATGTTAGTAACATCGAGCAACACGAATATACATATACTTTTTGGCGGGTCTCTCAAGCCCTCACATTAATAGAGATTGGAGGATGTATTTTACAAAAATTCTTGGCATCTTGTTTATGTATAATAATTGAAAAGTAATAACGCGTTTTCAGTTTAACACGTACGCGACGCTTATGTTGTGTGTTCTTCCAAAGAAGTCGAAGCGTACAAAGTGCAATTATTATTGTTTCTCCTCGTTCACGTCGTTGTTTTTTCTTTCATATTTCTTTTCTTTTTCGTTATCTGTTATTTTGGTGGGAACGTAGTTATATAATAGTGTTACTTAACAGTATATAAATGTTATTAGAAAACACCACCACATTTCAAGAACACACTTTCTCTTTATAAGCGATATGGGGGAATATTGCCCTGGCAAAGATTTTCTGAAGAAGACAGCGAATGCGTCAGAGATTCTTCCTCTTTTTAAAATCGTTAAGTCATTTTTTTTCTTTATTCCTTCGTTCTCTTTTTTTTTCTCTTTTGATTTGGAAATTCTGCTGCTACGTTTATTGATAATATATGTAGTATTTATATTACAAATGACTTGTATCTCCTGTTTATACACTGTTTTTATTATCGTTACATCTTAAAAAGTGCCTAACTTGTCAAATGTTTCATATTCTAATTCTTTTACTGTATATATATATTTTGGTTTAGCGATCGCTGAAGTAATTTGATCGAGAGTCGTCATCAAATCATTGTTTTCTCATTTTATTTGACTTTTATTAACTTCCATATCTCGAGGTTTACAGAATACTCAAAACATAGTTGAATAAAAAAAGTAACATCTCGAAAAGAGTGAACTTACTTGTTTTACAATATATCCTTTTATTAGTTCATGCTCTTCCAATTGAATCATAACATTTCTAAAGCGATTGTCAAATTATTATCCTTCTATCATCGTATAACTCTCAAAAAACCGATTCATCGTTTCCTATGAGGGTAGTAACAAAAGTTATTTATATTTTACATTTAAATATGCAGCTTGAATACATTTGCTGGCGAGTAGCAAAGAGAAAATAAGTTAGCTTTCTCAGCAAAATGTCACTTAGTTTAGATCGAAGATAATTTCGGATTTCGTGGAAAGCAAACTTATCTCGTTTCTTTTATTTCGTCCACTCACATATATTGTTAGTCCATTGTTAAAGAATGCGGCAAGATAGAAACACACTTTTGTGTTTAATTTTTTACTTTTGTTTTATTCATTTACGAATACGAACATATAAAATCCATGTTTCTTTTTATATTTCTTCTTCTTCTTCTTATTATTATTATTATTATTATTATTATTATTATTATTGCATACTACACGTTTGCCATCGTGGGCCTGCTCTTTTCATTTAAAAAATGTTCTTTATTTGAAATTGTTTAAAAGAGTACGGAGAATTTTAATAGGATTTATTTGGAAACGAGGAATTAGGTAGTTTTTGAAAAGCATTGAAAGCTATTACTACGAGATTTAATTCCTCATTATATCTGTTTCTTTCCTTTTCACTTTTCATAAATTGGCATCATTAGTTTTCAAAACACAGCGTCATAAAACCGAAAAAACGTGAGCTTTAATTGGATTATTTATGATTAAACGATCGACGATTTGGCACAATATTTATTGTTAAGCGTTTATTCTGCTTTATCTCGAGGTGTATGAAGTTGGATAAATGGATTTGCATGTTATTGTTTTCAAACGAGTTTCATTTTCATTTCCAACTGGATACATTTTTAACGCGTCAGCACAGTAAAAGAGATCACGCGGAAAGGAAAATTATTATTAACGATATTGTATGTAAATGTACAAAATTGAGTGAGAAAGGATACAAATGACAGTAATGCATTCCTCAATATTCTAGATTTTGTAAGATTTCTCTACACTCTAACAATAGCTGCTCTGTTTGGAATTAGATAGAGAAAGAGTTTTATGTTTTATGATTTATAAACGAGAAATGACAAAATCTTGACACTACTGTTACCGAGCAACCTTTACCACTTATCGAGCAAAAGGAGCTCACATTATAACTTACTATCAAAAGGAAGATACATAACAATATCGAGAATATATGTTATAACTTAAGTAGGGAGTTTTTTTTTTTTTCCTATTCTTCGTCTTACAAATTAATACTTTCCATACGCATTCATACCCAGCTACTAACACGCATATGTAGGTATGTTTTAAGGACTATCTAAACGAGGATTGTCGATTTAGGGTCTTTTTCATTGAACATCTATGCATTAATGAGACTTTGTATTTTCTTCTTCTTCTTCTTCTTCTTCTTCTTCTTCTTCTTTTTCTTTTCTTTGATTATTCTTCGCTCATCACGCGATTATCGATTATATTCGAGATATAATTTTTATTCAAACATATACATTCGGGTAGATCCTCAGATCATACGACATATTTACTATCTACTGAGATTTAATATGTACATCAATTCCTTGTCAAAGCAAGCTAATACTTTACAGGATAGAAGAATCTACTATAAGTTTTGAACAATTTGAGAGAAACACGAATGAGAAGGTCTACAGCTAGTTTAAATATTTTTTTTTTTCTTCAAATAATTAGCTACGTGCTCAAGTTTCTTTTTTATTTTTTCAATTTTTTCTTTCTTTTTATCTTTCTTATTCTTTTCGTCTTTTATAAACATTAAAATGATTTTTCTCATTGAAATGAAAAAGACCCTGTACTATAAGTGGAATCTAAAGTGCTGTGTGGAAGGAATATTTCTAATAATAGTAATGAGTAGAGTAATCATTATTTTCCTTATCTCCAGCATCAAATTCTAGCCTTCTTCTTTTCTTCATTATTTTCTTCTTTTTTTTTTTGTTGTTGTCCTTTTTCTAATGCAATATGGGAGATTGCGTAAAAATTGTCTTTCCTTTGCCTTTTAATAAAGGCACGTCACAGAGACGACGAAGAAACGGAATTCTTTTCAACAAAACAAATTTACGTTAACAGTATTACGCCGTGTTAAGTTTTATTTTTAGCATTTTTTTTCTTTTAACGTTTTTTCTTTTCTTTCTTGGAACGAGGCAGTGGAAGTTGAAGAAGGAAGAGGAGAAGTCTTCTTTTTTTTTTTCTTTTTTTTTTTTTCGATCGAACGAGTAATTCTTATATGTAGATAAATTTTACAGAGAGACAGGTACACGCGTTGTTACTGTATCAACGCATTTTGGCACATTGTTGTCGTTGTAAAAGATCTGCAAAGCAACGAGAACGTTTATAATTATTTATAAAACGCGAAATATAAGTAAAACCTATATACGAAAAAAGTAGAAAGTAAAAAGGTACAATATGATAACTTTAAATCGTAATCAATGTAATTCACGATACGCATTCAACTGGTATATTATTGATTGCTGAAAAAATTACTTTTTTGTACTTTTGTTCTACGTGCCCAAAATCTTTATTATATGTACGTATTGTATTTGATGAAATAACTAAAATAATGATTCCGTATTGCTTCGTCGAATCTGAAACGTAACTGCGTATGATAATTTTCACTTTTTCACTGAAAATCTTTACATTTTTATCTGTTTTATATTAAATTTTTAACATCTCTTTTTTTTCTTTTTTAATTCCCACGTATCATTTTTCTAATTTTCTCCAATTATCTCTCTCCTACTTATCTTCTCGATTCTCTCAATCTCTCTAATATCATAGTTAAAAGTCAACGATTAGTTTCCAGAACACAAGGCACTTGGCTTACACATCATATATCTTTTTTTTTGTTATTCTATCTTTTTTTTGTATAGCACAGTGTTGAGATTTTTCGCGAGAGGACGCTCGACCATTACGTCAAACTAAATATTTATTTATTTACTTTACGTTACTAGGAAAGAACTAACGTAGTCTTATAAAACGAATCAATGTGTGCGGAGTTGGCCGATCTTGATTCGTTCGTGAGACAATTTATTAAAAGTTCTCCAATTGTAATCCAATTCTATTTCGACAATGAGATCAATTAGCTGTCCGCTCTTGCATTGTGCCGAGCGTCTTTAGAAGTATAATGACAATAAAACACACCAGTCACTCGTAATATTCATAGAAGAAAATAGTCGTATATATATATTTATATATACATTTGGACATATTGTCACAAATATATATATATATATATACGTAGTATGCAATGTCGTATATATATATTATAATCACTTTTCATATATTTAGCATTAATCTTATATTTATATTAACTTTGAAAACGACGGTTAAATCATTCATCACATCTGAATATTAAAACCTTTTTTTCTATCTCTATTCTTTTAACTTTCATACCTTCACATTCATACACGATTTATTTGATCTTTCTCTCTTTCTCCCTCTCGTTCCTTTTTTTTGTATAGTATTTAATGATACATTTAATAATCGTGCTCATGAGACCAATGAAGTTTCGGTAATCTCTCGATGTCTTCTTTTTCGCATATCTATCTCTCTTCTTTAGTATTTAATACTCTTTTTTTCTGTCACGATATTTATTTTCTTGTGCTTCAAACAGCTTATTTCCATTTTATGCAAAGAAGTCGTACCAAAGTTAATCATTTCAGAAGAGATTGTTCATTTGAGACTCTTAAAATCTACCGAAAAATCCATCAGTCTCTTTCTCGTATTAATTATAGCTTAATTAACGAACAACATCGAAGATCTAATGTCTCTTTATCTTCTTGTAAATATACATAAATACGTATATGCACATGTTATGTATACACATCCTTGTATATACGTGCTTATATGCTGTGTTGCATATATATGTATATATAACGTTTATCTTTTTTTTTTTTTTCACTTTGACGACTGTCCATGTGTAAATAAAACGGTATATATATATATATATATATATATATATGTAATATAATTTATACAATTTATATATTTATGTATGTCAAAAGAATGTGAGTGTATATATGCTACTCATTTAAATATGTATATATAAATACATATNACATAACACTGTCCCACAGCACTTTATCCAGTTTAATTATTTTCATCCAGAATTGGCGATCACTAAATAAAGAATATGAAACGAATTATTATAAATAAAAAATATTATTCACTTGATTATTGCATCACTAAAAGGATTTTTTTAATTAAATACTTTACACTGCACACAGCCTGTATTTACGGTATTCAAATTACATTGACAGGTAGCCATCTTGATTTTGTCCTAGTGGTTTTTTATCTTTTGTCTAGATGGCGAAACATATTCTACTAATCGGTAAGACATAGTAACATTTACTTCCGCTAGATGGCAGCATCATTTTACTAGTCGGTACATTGAAGTAATATCTAGTACCGAAAGATGGCGATACACATTTTACCAGTCGATAATAAAATATAGATTACCTACACACACACACAATATGTTTTTATTAATTGATTAAAAATAAATGCAACTCCTCAATCAATTTTTATATGATAAAAGTAAGTGTATTTTAATAGTATTATTTTTACTTCTTCTTCAAACAAAATTATTATATTTACCTTTAAACATATTATTGTCTAGATTATTTTTAGTCAGAGCAGCTGCATTCTTTTCGCATAATAATTCACATTGAATCTCTACAAAAGAGATATTTATTAACAAATACATCAATTTTTCTTG